TAATAATAATAATAATAATAATAATAATAATAATAGTAATAATTATAAGTCTAATCATAATAATAAAAGTAGTAGTAGTAATTATATTAATAGTCATAATCATAATCATAATAGCCTACTACCATAACGTCAATTAATTGAACAACGTCGCATTGACATTTCTTTCTTGATAAAATGTAAAAAATAATGACAAATAGAAAAAAAAGAAAAGAAAGAAAAAACGAAATAATAATAATAATATTAATAATAATATTAATAATAATATTAATAATAATATTAATAATAATAATAATAATAATAATAATAATAACGATAATGATAAAAAAGAAATAAAAATAAAAAAAAATGAAGGAAAAAATACACCTAGTCTGCAACCTTGTGAGTATTTAGCAAAGCATATACATAGTACGTTCCCGCTGTGTACGACGCGTGCCCGTAATTTGTCCGTATCGTATATATGTAAGTGGCAAAGTGCGTACTATTACACATTCCGTGTAAGTATGTGTTTAATTTTTTGTCGTGTGTGCGCGTGTGTCCATGTGTGTGTGCGCGTGTGTACAATTTTGTTGTTGTTTTATTTTTTTTTTGCAAGAGCATTGTGTGAATAGTTGTTTTCGTTTCGTAATTTCGTTCGTTGTGCAGTTTCATGATAATTAATCGATAATTATTATCATTCATCATTGTCTCGTTATAAGTTATAACAAACGCCTTATGTGCTAATTATTTTTTAATCGACTTTATTTTCTTTCTCGTTTTTTCTTCTTCTTTTTTTTTTTTTTTGTTTGTTTGTTTATTATATGGTGCCCTTTAAAAGCGTGTTATATAATATACCTACACACACATATATATGTATGTATATAAAAAAATATATACATATAGATATGTGTGTACGTAAATATATGTTGTATATATCTATAGTACCACATAATTCGTTATGTTCTGTCTGTCTCTCTCTCTCTCTTTCTCTCTCTCTCTCTCTCTCTCTCTCTCTCTCTCTCTCTCTCTCTTTGTATGTGTTTAAAATTATTTAAAAAAATTATGTTTATTGTTATTATTGTTGGTAATTGCTGTTATCGTTGTCTCGTATAGTCATTTTACGTTTTTATTCTAATTCTGCCACGAAAGCGAGATAATTCGAGAGCGTCATTTTAACGAAACATCATTTTTTTGTGCTCGTTAGTTTTCTTTCTTTTTTTTTTTGTTTTGTTTTGTTTTATATATATATATTTTTTTTTGTTTGTTTTGTTTTCTTTACACACAACAGGTGGTGTGTGTACGCTAATTTATTTATTCGCACGCGTGCAATGAAGCAACACAACTCGTTTTCTCAGCGAGTTTGCGTATCATCCTTTTTTCCGCAATACGTGATTAATCGGGAGTGTTCTACTGCATCTACGCACTCGGGGCTGGATCCAAGGCGACTTGACTTTTTAAAAAAACTGTCGAGAAATACAGAACGTGCACGGACGTGATTACTATTTTTGTATTCCTTCATTTCGAATCCTACTAAAGAGATCGAAGTAGGAACGTATATATAATAAAAAAAAAGAAAGAAGAAAATAAAAAATTAAAAAAAAAAAAAAAAAATATCAATAAACTACTTATTATTATTAATAATACTAATAATAATAATAATAATAATAATAGACTATATAATAACCTTTTATCAAGATAAAATATCGCGTCTTTTGTAA